TCAAGGCCAGGTTGGACGGGGCTTGGAGCAACCTGGGCTGGGGGGAGGTGGCCCTGCCCAGGGCAGGGGGTGGAACTGGATCATCTTTAAGGTCCCTTCCAACCCAAACCATTCTGTGATTCTCTAATTCTACAATTTGTGTGTCTCTGTCCCAGCAGGGCGCACAGAGGTACCACGGCCCGGGCAGGGGCTTACCCCGCAGGCACCTCGGATGTGCCAACTGCCGAAGATCTAGCAGGAAAACTTGAGCCACTTTTCCACCAGTCAGGAAAGTAACCAAAGCCTCCCCAAGGTCCGCTTTCTGTTTCAAGTATTTCCACGGTGCCCTTCATCCCGAGGCACACAAAGGCACTGCAGGTCACTGGCAGCGTACGCACATCCCCCCGAGCTTCAAAGATCATCTTTGTACCTGTCCTCAGCTGGCACGGCCCAAGGACGGAGCACGCTGTACCCTGCGGCGGATGCTCTCCGGGAGAGGTACACCGCGCTGCTGCTCGAAGCCGTCTCCCGGAGGCTTTCCAGGGCAGTCTCGGGCTTGAATCCATCTCCTTTCACAGCCTCCCACGTGTCTCTCCTTCGCCATCAAACACAGGACAATTTTTCACCGGAGCTACTGCTCAGCAACACAGCTCCCACCTTGCAGGGCTCCGTCCGCCGCCGCTGACCCTGGTCCTCGGGAGCTGCAAGGCCCACGCGCTGGTCCAGCAGGTCCACCGCCTCGTCCCACCACACCGCATGCCCACGGGCACCGATCCCCACGCAGCCCACGCGGGGTGGCCGTGGGATGGTGGTGGCATTTACGCAGCTCAGCCCGGACAGAGCCCCCCCCAGTTGCAGCCCAAGAGCTCCCAGCGCTCTCCAGGAACCGATGGGAACCACCTCTCCATAGCATCCCAGACCTGATCGCTAACGAGTCCAGTCTTTAATGGCTGATCCATAATATATTATAACACTTTACAAAACTACCAGCAGCAGAAGTCAGCCACACCAGCTTCGTCCCCGACACCAGCCGGGCTGCTTTAACTTGCTCCGGTTTGATTGTAGCTGTGACATCGCGTTTCCTTCTTCCTGAGCTTTGATTTGAGATAATTACAGCAAAATTACGTTGCTTGAAATATCTGTATTCCACCATGAGTCACAGAAGCATGAAGCGGTCCGGTTCCCCGCGTGTCCCGGGCTCTGGGGCCGTCGGTGCGGAGGCAGTGCCGTTATGGGGATGTGCTTATAGTAATACTTCCCAAAGGTAATTTTATCTGTTTACAAAGACTGCAAAAATTACGCCAAGAAGGAGACGGCACCTCTCCGTCCCCAGGCAGCATTTAACCCCCAAATCCCTCCTCCTCCCAGCTCACAACCTGGGGATTTTACCCATCATTAGAACGCTCCGGCACAGGGACGGCACCGCAGGGTGACGGACGGGCTCCATCCTTTGCCAGGACATTATTTCCTGCCCGTTTATCGCGGCTGCGGTGACGATCGCTGCCTGCGTGCTGAGCGCGAGGCAGGAGGCACGAACGCAAGCCTTTTTTTTTTTTTTTCTTTCGTTGGGCAGAATTACATAAACTCCTCAAAGCCCGGGAAAAAAAAGAGGGGGGAAGGCACCTGGGTCAGACCACGCCAGGGGTGCCGCTGCTCCGGCAGGCTGAGTTTGCTGAGCTGAGCCCTCACCGGTTCCCCCTTCTGCCCCAAAGAGGGACCACGGCCATACCGGGGCGCTGGTGGGGTGGGCGGTGGGACCCCCGCCTGCGCCCGCGGAGGAACGGGGTAGCAGAGCCTCTGCTGAGGCTCCAGACTCCGAAGAGGACCTTAAGGCTAGAGGGTGGGGGTGCACCCACAGGGGAGCGATGGGCAGCGCTGTCTTGGCAGCGAAAGCACACCCCGTGCAGAGAACAGACAACTCATTACACCTCCCATCCCCGCTAAGCACATCCCCGTAACGGCACTGCCTCCGCACCGACGGCCCCAGAGCCCGGGACATGCGGGGAACCGGACCGCTTCATGCTTCTGTGACTCATGGTGGAATACAGATATTTCAAGCAACGTAATTTTGCTGTAATTATCTCAAATCAAAGCTCAGGAAGAAGGAAACGCGATGTCACAGCTACAATCAAACCGGAGCAAGTTAAAGCACAAACCAGCGCACAAAGCACCCAAACGACCTCACTGCCACCCCACCAGGGCAAAGCACGGACACAGCAGCTCTGAAGATGAGTTTCCAACGCGCCATCAACGCCGGAGCACCTCCCAGCGCGGAAATACTCCGCTCCTTACCGCCCTCGCAGCGCCGGCAGGATCGGCTGAGTCCCTGCAAACTCCCGGGACCTCTCTTCACTCCCTGGAGGCTTTTTTGACTGTAAGGATGGTTATTTGTGAAATCCCGGCTCCAGGAAAGCCAGCAGGCTGCACGAGGTCTTGGCTTCACCTACGGGCGCAGCCCTGCGAAAAGCATCCTAAAAAGGCCGGGCAAAAGCAAACCGCAGCCCCGTGGGGACCACCATCACGAGCAGAAGAGCAGCGCGTGGGCTTCTTATTATTTCTGAAATTACCCTCATGTTTCCTCCGCTCCGTCCCGCTGCACTCGCTCCACACACAGCGCTCACCGGAGACTCCGGTGCCCTCCAGTGCCGGGCTGCCGGCAGCGTGCAGGTCTCTGGGAAGGGGAGCGTGAGGACCAGCGTTGCCTTTCCCCTTTCTCCTGGGAGCCCGAGGCAAAGCTGGCCAAAATACGCAGAAACCCAAATCCATCTCTTTCCTCAAGCACTCGGCTGCCTCTCGGATCCGCACCAGCTTCGGTCCAACGGTGGGTGGGTAAGAGCAGCCCCAGATGCGAGCGGAGGAGCCCTGCTGCCACGCCATCCCCATCCATCCCTCCCGCTGGTGTCTTGGTACCACCAGGACAACCACAGCAACAGGAGAGTTCCTGCTTGTCCCTGCGGCACAGCCGGGAGGGTGGGGACAGGGATGTCCAGGGGTCCGGACAACCCCTCGTTCGCCCATCTCGGGGAGGATGGTCCTGGGGAAGCCGCTTTGCCGCGGCAACACGAGACCCACCAACTCCTAAGGTTACTGCTGAGGATTATTCGTAAAGTGTCGGAGGAGAGAGAGAAGCAGCGACGTTTACTCTCCTTGCTGAGGATAAAGGATTCACTCATCCAGAAAGGTGAAGCAGCCGCAAGCCATCGCCCGGAGGTCTTCGCTTGGAGCGCGGCCAAACGCCGCGCCATTGGGGCTCCTTCCTTTGTACCAACTCAGCCAGGAAAGCAACCGGATTTTGCTTCGCTAAGGCCGGTGAAAACAGCCCGAAGGTCAGGAAACACCCCCAGAGACTCCGGCCGGGGCTC